GGGTTTTGACCAAGCCGGCCGGGACTTTGACCACCCGGTTCAGTGGCCATTTTGACTCGGATTTGAGAGGTTGGACCGGTTCTGGATTCAGGGAGAAAATACCTATCAGACCAAGTGGGTTCGGGAAATTTTGGGTGCCGGTTCGAGGTGAACATCCCGGTTTTGTGTATTGATGCTCGATGACTGGTTCACTGGTTTTCAGGCTGGTTCTTGGGGAGTTTGGACCGGTTCCTGGTTCAATATGATAAAACCTAGTTAACCGTGAAGTTTGGTGATTTTTGGAGATCCGGTTCAAGGTGAACCAGTCTCAATTTGCGTGTCAATGCTTAGGATTAGCGTTTTTGGCCCGGTTCGGAGCTGGTTTGAGCCATTTTTGGCCAGTTCATAGTGGTTCCTAGGGTTTTTGGGCCTTCTGAATCCAATTTTGAGGGTTTTGTGGTCATTTAAGTTGAGTTGGAGGTAGTTCTAGATCGGGCTAAGCCGGTTCAAGGGTTTTGGAGGGCGGTTCACTGTGGTTCGAGGATTGTGGGGGCTAGTTCCGTAGTGTTAAGGGCGGTTAAGTATATTTGTTCTGTGTTGCTGAGTTGCGTAGGTTCTGGTGACAGGTCGGGTTGCCTCGAGATGCGTGCTAGGGGGCCAGTTTGGGATTTTAGTTCGGTTTGAGGCTACCGAGCCTGTTTCTCGTGCCAGTTTCGGCGTTGGTGATGGTTTTGTGTGATTTTGATTGTAGATTCGCAGGCAGGGGCACACCCGGACCACTGAGTCGGGTTAGGTGACTCGGGACTCTCGTTTTGGCTTAGCGTCTGTACTGTAAGTGATGATACCCTTTCTATGCTTGTGTTTTCATACTGTGATTTTCTGACATGATGATTATGTGATTTGAAAACCGTACTTTGATTATGCGTTATACCCGGGATATGTGTTATGTGTATTGTGAACTGTCATTGAGCTATGTTAGTATGTGATACTTGTTTTGAGATGTGAACTGTATATGTTATGTATACCTGCTTTTGACTACATGTGAGGATGGTATCATCTGATGTGAGGCGGCAGAGGCCGCGAGTGGCAGAGGCCGCGATGTGATGTGTGATGTGAGGCGGCAGAGGCCACGGGCGGCAATGGCTGCGGATGTGATATACACTAGTGCGATTCCTCCGATCGTCGAGATGGTGGGTTCCTCCGATCGTGAGAAGACGAGACAGGGGTCTCGTGATGTGATGTGCACGGGATGGTAGACTCAGCCGACGGACGGTGGACCGTAGCGTACGGGGAGTACCTTGGGTCGGCGATGAGATGAGTTGTGTGGCTAAGGGCTCAGCCGGCGGACGGTGTGCTACCGTAGCGTGCGGGGAGTACACTGGCCCTGTGATTGATGTGATGTGATGATTGATTACCTTGATACCTCACATATGTGTTTTGATTACTGCTCATTGTATATATGTGTATGTATGATTTTGTACTTGTGGCGTGATACATATCCCAACATGTATAGATTAGGTATCATCCGTACTCACTGAGTTTCGCGACTCATAGTTTTAAACATTCCAGATTCATTTGACTGTAATCACCTCGATTAGCGTGCCAGCGTGGGAGTCGACAACAGCGGACTTGATGGATGTACGGGCATTTCTCTTTTGTACTTTACCCGATTGTATTCTAGAGTAGCTTCCTTGTACTCTCAGACAGGATCCCGGGTGATTTTTGGATGTTATATTATTGCACCTTGTGTATGTTTTATATATTTGGAGTTCGACTGATTTTGTTGAGGCTTACTGGGGTCGGTGGATCCCAGTGCCGGTCACGGGCCCGGGGTTCGGGGCGTGACAATATTACCTCTGAAGTTTTTTTAAAAATTTTTCAATTAAATTCTATAATTTTGAATATATTAATAATATATATAATCATTAATTTAACAAAATATTATTAAAATTTAAATTTGGATTCTTAACATATTGTATTATTTAATTTTATATCCAATACATTTATTTCTTGTCACGATTCGATCCGGAGCTCATGACCGGTACTAAAGTCTACCAACTTCAACAAGTCTCACAACACCAAATCATACTAAAATACTCATCTCATCAAATAAATATAAACCTATACACACCATTCAGTACACAACAACTAGGACCAATCAAGAGTATAAAAATAGTTACTATAAAGTACAAAACAATAGATATACAAAAAGAAATGCATGTGCATCAAATTGTCGACTGATCCACATTAAGACTCTGACACACCAACCGAGACGGGAATTGCAACCCAATCTGAAATATTTATAAAATGTGAGTCATAAAACTCATGAGTACAGATAATACCTAGGTTATATACGTCAGGATATGTATCATATCACAAAATCCAAAACCATACATACATACATACATACATATATATATGTATATAATGAGTAATAATACATCAAAACATATATGTGAGGTATCAACATAACCAACTATCAGATCATAACACTAGGTTAGGGTACTCCTCGCACGTTACGGTAGCGCATCGTCCGTTGGTTGAGCTCTTGTCATTCCAATCTCATCCCATCACTGGGCCCAAGGCACTCCTTACACGCTACAGGCTATCGTCCATCAATTGAGCCTACCGTCCCAGACACATCATAACAATGCACATCATATCCGCTGTTGCCTACGGCCCCTACAACCTCACATGGGACTCGGGCCGACTCACCACTGGACGTTACGAATCACCATACTCTAACCGAGTTCGTAACATCCCTCAAATCACATCACACAATACCATCCTCACGTATAAGTCAAAAACAAGTATACATATGCATATACAATTCACATCTCGAAAACTAGTATCATCGTATTAACATAACTCACTGATAGTTTATAAATCACATAACACATATCTCAAGTGTAACATATAACCAAAATACAGTTTTCGAAACCATGTAATCATCATGCCAGAAAATACAATACGAAAAACACATATATAGGAAGGGCATCATCACTCACTGTACACGAGCTGAATCAAAAAGAAAGTCCCGATCACCCTCATCCAACTCACTAGCCTGTACGCGCTTTCACCGACGTATCTGTAATCAAAACTACACAAAACCATCACCATCACCAAAATCAGCATAAGAAACGGGTTCGATAGCCTAAAACCGAGCTCAAATCTTATCCAGGCACCCTAGAACACATCCCGAGGCACCACTGCCCATCATTAGGACCCACACGAGTCACTAACACTCATCAATTTTACTCAACAATGCTCAAACAAATAGAGAACCAGATTCCAATACCCTCGAACCACGGTGAACCATCTTCCAAAACCCTTGAACCAACCTTACTCGGTCTAAAACTACCTCAAACCAATCTAAATTGACCACAAAACCCTTAAAATCAGATTCAGAAACCTCAAAAATCCTATGAACTGATCTAAAACGGTCAAAAACTACCTAATACAAGGCTAAATCGGCCACATAAACCCCTAAATTGGGTTAGTTTAACCAAAACACCAAATTTTAAGTCGAATCAAACCTCCAAACCCACTTAGTCCAATAGATCTTTTTTATTTTGAATCTAGAACCGATTCAACTTCCCAAAATCAAGTCAAAAAAATCACTGAATCGGGCAGTCAAACCCACTAGCGGGTTCAGTCAAACCCTTTTTTTTCTTGCTTATTGGCTCGACTCTATGGCTTAGCTTGGCGGCTCGGCTTGGCTCACTGGCTTAACCCACTAGCTCGGCCTAGTCCACTCAAGCCCCTCTTTCTAGCCCAACCCAACCAGGTCTGGGCCTAAATCGGCTCAACCTAGCCCAAGCCCAATGTCCCGAGTCCGGACCCAACCCGGTCCAACTCGCACGAACCTAGATCACCATCCGACTTCATCCTTTCTGCCCGGTTCCCTGCATACAATTTGAAACACCTATAACTCCAAAACTCAAAAGAAAACATTGAAAAATCACTCACCTGGAACTATTGATGCCTAAAAATCCTAAACCTGGATCAAGTGAGTCTCACTAAGTCCTTCCATCGAAAAAAATAAGCCGTCCAAAAGCCCAAAAGCCAGAAAAGCTAGTTGGCCCTTTGTGCCCTCCGTCGGCCAAAAAGCTTCTAGATTTCTCACAATCCTTCACTCGATCTCTAAACTTGGTTGAGGGGTTTGGTTTGTTTCTCTTAAATGCACGAAATGCCTTGATTTTCCATGGAAATCATCACCAAATTTGTGCAAATCATGGCTTGGATAGTTCGATCCACTATTAGACTAAACCTGTCAGGCCCAATTTCACTAACTCTCAAACTTTTATTTCCTTCAATTTTACCCCTAGCAAACTTCTAATTGAGTCCCTGGCCTTTACTATGTTTCTATTTTGACCCCCACACTCCCTAATTTTACAATTAAACTCCTAGATCTCAAAATCTTTGCAACTAAACCCCTTCAAGAATTCAAATCAGTCACAAAACTTCAATTCTTATCAATTAAACCCCCCAATCATGATTACTTAACTAATTTCCCAAACACAATAAATTAGGGTCATTATATTTTTAAATATAGATATTTGTAATAAAATCTAATTTATAAAATATTTTAATAAATTTTGAATCCTAAAATTTAGATCAAATTTAAATTGAATTCACACTAAAATTCACCCAATTGACAAGTATATTATAACGTATATTTTATATTTATTAAGAATTATATATATCCCTCTTTAAAAATATAACTTTAATATATAATATTTAACAAAATTCTTGGAAAAAATTAACAAAATTATTCCATCCGGACGCGTGTCTCTAGTTGGTTAACCCGTAGATCATTTTTCTGCAGGGAATTTCAATATTTTTATTTTGTATTACTACTAGCAATCTAAGAATAATAATAAAAAAAAAATACACAAAAGAATTCGAATACTTTTAATATAGACTAGCAGTTGTTCAGTCAAAATAGACCTCACAATTCCCGTTATCCTTTCTCTGTCCCCGTTCGTAGCCATTAAAACTTGAACCACCGTAAGACTGAGATGGGGAGCGACGGCGCCGGAGAAGATTCCCACCCCGAGCACGCTGTCCAGATCTGGGAAGTAAAGCCGGACCGGCTCGCCGCGATGCATGAGAAAATCTCAGCCACGCCGAAGATGCTGAGCAAGTGGGCCGGCCACCCCTCGTGCTCCATCTTCCGTGTTCCACAGAGCCTGATCAACATCAACGGCCGGTCCTATCACCCGCACATCGTTTCCATCGGCCCCTACCACCACGGCCAGCCCCACCTCCAGATGATCCAGGAGCACAAGTGGCTGTTCCTCGCCGCGCTATTACGTCGAACACAGGGCAGGGGTTTAGAACTTGAAGACTATTTGAAGGCCATTTACCCTCTGGAGCCCGAGGTCAGAGAGTGCTATTCGGAAATTATCCATCTAACCGCCGATGAGTTCACCGAGCTGCTCGTCCTCGACGGCTGCTTCATTATTGAGTTGTTTCGGAAGTACGGAAAAGTGGTTCCGGTCGAACCCGGCGACCCATTGACTTCCATGTCCTGGGTATATTCGTTTTTCTTGAGGGACTTGATTCGGATCGAGAACCAGATTCCGTATTTTATTCTGCAGGTAGAGCTACCGATTAATGTTTTCAACAGTATAATTTGTTTCTAATTCAACTTCGAATTTACTTGAACTAATGTTGTATACGACGGTCCATGTTATCGCCTCTGTCTATAGGAACTGTTCGATTTAACAAGAATGCCAGGGGAAGAGTCCGGCCCATCCCTGTCGGACCTCGCGCTCGGCTTCTTCAACAACACCCTGCAGAGGCCGGATGAAGTGATCGAAAAATATCGTCACCTCGACGCCCGGCATCTCCTCGACTTCCTCCGCTCGTCCTTCATCCCCCTGGACCAGCCGGAACCGAGCAAATCGGGGTCGACCCGGGTGATCCAATGCATCTCGAAGCTCCGGCGAGCAGGGATAGAGCTCAAGCCCAACAAAGCCGAGAGCTTCCTGACAGTCCGATTCCGGCGCGGCGTGATCGAGATGCCCACGGTGTCCTTGGACGACTTCTCGAGTTGCTTCATGATCAATTGCGTCGCGTACGAGCAGTGCCGGAAGAATTGCTCGACCCACTTCACGACCTACGCGACGCTGATGGATTGCCTCATCAACACGGCCAGGGACGTGGAATACCTGTCAGACTGTTCGATTATCGAGAACTACTTCGGCACCGACGCAGAGGTGGCTCGCTTCATCAACAATCTGGGGAAAGACGTGACATTCGACATCGATAAGTGCTATTTAGCGAGATTGTTTGACGAAGTGAACGGGTATTACAAGAACGGGTGGCATGTGCAGTGGGCGGGGTTCAGGTACAGATATTTTCGGAGTCCCTGGTCGTTCATCTCTGCTTTAGCGGCGTTTGTTCTGCTGGTGCTTTCGGTGTTGCAGACATACTACACCATGATTGGGTATCTTCGTCCTGGTCGCTCAGGAAACTAATCTTCATTTATTATTTAGTTTAAAATTTTTAGTGGCTATACGTACATAACATGTTATGCACATAAAAGAGGATTAGAGTTAACCCTGTATTTATTATTTTGTAATTAAATATGATAATTTTTGCAAACGAAATTTCAACGATTCAACTCATATATTGACCTGAAACTGGTAGTTGGGAATTGTCTCCATTTTGTACAACTAGTGGTTGCATTTGAAATGTAGATGGTCTTACTCTTTTGCATTTTTGAGGGAGCTTGGGCTTGTTTGTGTTGGGAGAGTTAGAATCTGACTGATTCTTGCACAGGGCTTTTAGCTTGAGAGACCCAAAACTAGTTTTTACAATAAAAATTAAACATTTTTTAAAATTTAAAATAATATTTAGCAACTTGATTTTTTTAAAAATTATATAATTGACTTGATAGTTTAATGATATTAAAATTTATTAAATCAGTATCAAATGTTATTGATAGTACTGATATTAATTTAATAAATATTAAAATTACTGAATTAGTGAATAGGCACTTAACATCAAATTCCAAAATTGCTAATAAAATGGCCTTTTAACAAGAAGACACAAAGGTAGTCACAGCATTAGGTTGATTCTCTGAGCCGTTTCCTCGGTTCAGTTCAGGTAAATCATCACTGTGAAAAAGCTATTCACTCCGAAATTAATTACCATATTGCAGAGCCATTATTTTGATAAAGAAAATTTGTATGCAGATGAAATACATCAAATACTGGTGAGGACAGCGAGAAGTTTAGGGTATTTGATCTGTACCCGTGCCAAAGCTTAATCCAAGCGTGTTCAGAGGTTTATTGGGGTAAATTACACTCACATTTTATATTTTGATTCAGATGTCATTTTATGTAGTAAGCTTCAAACTTTAATAGTAAAATCAATATTCTATTTACTATTTAACTCTCAATTAAGTGCTACCCACATAATTTATACTACTCATAGAAAGTATAGGGTTTATATTTAGTTTTGAAAACAAAAATAAACCAATTTTGATTGGACCCACTTTTATTTTGAGTAAAAAGTAATTAAACTTAATGGGAATTATCAGGAAAGAGATTTGCAGGGAACTTTTATCATGTCAAATTGGGCGCATTTAGATATATATTTAGATAATATATAATACAATAGAATTTTATCATGCCAAATTAGGCATGTTTAAATATATACTTAGATAATATATAATACATTAGGATTTTATTAAGAGAATAAAAATAAAAATTTTGAAAAAATGTATTTGGTAAATGTTTTGAAATAGAAAACCTCATTTGGTACAAAATTAAGATTTTATAAAATAAAGTAATATAGATTACCATTTCATCACTTGGTTTTATCGTTGTTATAGCACCCTTTATTTATTTTAGTAAATAAAAAAATATTTTTATATTAAAAATTATAAATATTTATAATTAAAAATTACATTACATGTATATTATTATTATATAATAAATTATATACTATACTATGTTATATATATATATTATGTTATGTATATTATATAATTTATTATATATAATTTTGTGTATATATATAAAGTAAAATTTAATATTTTGATGTTAAAATATAAAATTTTAAATCTTTTAACTTTTTAATATGTTCATAATATATTAAATTTTTTTAATTTTTATATCTTTTAATAAAAGTATTTTTGTATTTAAATAATATTTTTATTTTCCTTCATTCTCCTATTCTAATAAATTAAATAAATGATAAAATAAAAATTTTTATTCTATTTATGTGTACCAATCATGTTTAAAATAATTTTATTCAATTCATTCCTATTCCTACTTTTCTTTTTATTCTATAAAAAATAATGTTATCATATTATATGTTATTTTAATATTATTTAAATGTGTAAAATAATTTAATAAATATTAAGTGACTATTTTACTGTAATTTATATTGATTAAACTGTCAAATTGTCTATTAATTTTTAAACTGGCTTATTTGCTAATGAGTTGTGTCGCTTTCACCCGTCCTTAATTTTAAATACAGACCTAAAATTGCAGCTGACTGTTGAAGATATTATGAAGCCACCAAAATTCAAAATGGATGGGGTGTCCTCTGGATTACCGAGCTGGCTAGCCGACAATATCTGAATTTTCTTTTTTGATTTTTGACAGTGACATAATTAATGGCGACTCATATTTAGAGCATTCAAGGTGATGTGTTGGCCTGTCTTTTCTAATAATAAATGAATAAATAAAGTATAAACCAAGGGCAACCCACTCAATTTCCAACTTTATTTTCTCCTTCACCTTAAAATAGCGGCAAAGCAAGTTGAAGCTGGAAGGCGGTGCTTGCAACCGCTCATTGGGTAGTGCTTATGCACTTTTCAAGGTACAAAATTATTTCTGCATTGTTTGGAATGGTAGTTTTAGCTTTTGGTCGTTTAAATTAAGTAAAATAAAGTAAAAATTTTTAAAATTGAGGTTGGGATACTTTTGTTTTTAATGATAAATTTATAATTAAATAAAAATTATTTTATAATTATTTATACATTTTTGCCCTATAATATTTTTCTTAATTCCGGCTTTACTTTCTTTAGACTACCTCTCTCTCCCGTCCAGATTCCTTCCAGCTCCTCCCAAACCCTCCTCCGGCCCAGGTGTGGGCATCTCTCTCACCAGCAATGATAGGTAGTGGCGATCAGGAGGGGGCCGTCACCGTTGCGCGCAGCGACTGAGAGGTCCCCGGTCGCCGTTACGTGCAGTGACAGGGCCTCGTTGTTGCTGCGCGCGGTAACGAGGAGGGCCCCCATCGCCGCTGCGTGTGGCGATAAGGAGCCCTGTCGCCGCACGTAGCGACCACCGATCGGAGGGGCGGCGGGCCAGCAGGAAAGGAGAGATGAGAGAAAAAAAAAGAAAAATGGTAAATAATAGAAAAAAATAAAATAAAAGAATTATATATAAGGGTAAAATGGTCTTTTTATTCTAAAAATTTCTTTACAATCACTTCATAAAATTATATTCCAAACACTTTTTTACTAATTTCAAGTACTTTTTTTTTTTTATACATTTTACAAACATCCCCTACTTTTGATCATAATCTGATTTTACTCACTTTTACTTAAAGCACCAACTTCTTAACAAGTAAAAGCATTTGCAAATAGCCCATAAGTCAAGGGAGTAGAGCCCAGCTAAGTGTTTTCGTGTAATTGGTGTAGATGACATGTGTAACACGAATGGGTGAGCATAAAACTGCTCAACCCAATCCGTTCATCCGCAGAGCCTGAACCCGCCCCTACTCATCATTTTAATTTAATATTTTTCTTAAACAATTTATAATTTTACAATTCGTTCATTAATTTAAAAAATCTGCTGTCACCCCACTTATTTGCTAATATATATTTATATATATAACATTTATTTATTTTATTTATTCACTATTATTATTTAGTCTCTCTCAATTCTGGTTCAAAGTGTTAAAAGTTGGAAAAGAAAATTTTTCATTGAGAGAAAATCCTTAGTATTAAAAGTAATAAAATAATAGTTTAAAAATTTTTAAAATAAGAAAATTCCTTATTCTGTTTAAAATATAAATACAATAAACTAAAATAAGAATATAACGAATGATATACTTGTTCATTGTTAGAAAAATATTATAGCAATAATATACTTGTTGTGGATATCTGCAATGTCTTTTTGTATTAGAAGTGATTATACAAATATACTTAAAGAATGCATAATTAAGCTTTTCTTTTGGTTTTTTCACTTTATGTGGGAATTTTTTTTGGCTTAATTAATATTTTCTTTTAGTTTAGCTTAATTGCAACAATTTCTTTTTTTTTGTTAACTTAATTAAGGATATTAATTGGAAGTGATTACACAGATTTTACTTTCATTTTCTTTTGATTTGAATTGATTTTATGATGCAAATGTCTTATTTTTACATTATTTGATGCTTAACTCTTGAATGTAGTAGTAGTACGAGGTATAAAATTATATTAGTTTTTATTAGATTTATTTCTTTTAAATTATATTTTTATTAAGTTTTATCTATAGTGCACTAACCTGCCACAATAATCCACATATATCTGACCAAACTAAACCACACAGTTTCAAATGATAATAAGGAAGGTCTATTTTTTTGCTACCCGCACATATCAAGTTAAGTTGATTTTTTAATATGAACCTGCTCAACCCTCCCCCCCCCCCCCCCCCAATGCTCATCCATACTTAGGCCTATACATGGGTCTTTGTACCTGTATTTGATATTAAATTCTGACTCTCTAAATTAGTAATTTTAACAATTGTTATATTTATATCAAATATTAATTCTAGTATTGATATGATCTCTAATCCAATAAATCAGTACCTTGTATTAAATAAACCAGGCTCGTGGATAAATTGACTTCCCCATCAATAGTAACTTCTAATTAACAAAGAACAAAAGCAACTATTGACAATTATAAAGTAGCTTGTTTTAACCCTATTAAATCAGCTTAGAAGATTAGGAAGGAAAATTGGTGATGTCCTGGATGTTGACGTTCCAGAATTGGGAGGGAAGGTAGGAAGATGTATTAGAATAATGGTGGACTTTTAATGTTTCTTTACCATTAAGAAGGGTAATGAATGCTCTATTAGATCATTAGATCATAATGATGTGTGCAGGATAGAGTTCAGGTATGAAAGATTAGTATTTTACTCATACCCGACATATACTTATATATTTTACTTTATTATAACCAGGTATGAATACTAAAAAAATGAGAATTAGGATGAGTTTGTTGATTTTATGGAAATATTTTTGGAGTACGAAGATAGGAACAGGAACAGGAAATATATAATATTTAGCTCATTCTATATTTGGTATAATATATTATATATTATAATTATATAATATAAAGCTCACCCCCTATTTGGTATAATATATTACATGTATTATATATTAAAAATGCATTTAAAAACAAAGTACTAAAATTATATATTCAAAAACTAAATATATTAATAAATTATTTAATATATTATAAAAATATAAATTT